GAGGCAGGAGACTCACTTGAGCCTAGGAGTTGGAGGTTGCTGTGAGCAGTGAAGCCATAGCACTCTACCCAGGGGGACAGCTTGAGGCTCTGTCTCAAAAAAAAAAAAATATATATATATATATATATATGTCAAGTGAAGCTGGAAATGGTTTTAAGATGATACGGTATTAGATTTCAAAAGTATCATGAAGTCTGGCTTGGCACCTGTAGCTCAGCAGCTAGGGTGCCAGCCACATACATTGGAGCTGGCAGGTTCAAATCCAGCCTGGGCCTGCCAAGTAACAATAACAGCTACAACCAAAAAATAAAAATAGCCAGGCGATATGGTGGGCACCTGTAGTCCCAGTTAGTTGGGAGGCTGAGGCAAGAGAATCAGTTAAACCCAAGAGTTTGAGGTTGCTGTGTACTTTGACTCCATAGCACTCTACCAAGGGTGACAAAGTGAGACTGTCTCAAAAAAAAAAAAATAAAGTATCTTGAAGTCATCTGATTCAACTTCCTACGTAGGGCATAAATTCCTCTTATAATATCCCAAATGGTTATTAAGCTGAACAGGTTGTTTACTTAGAGAAAGTATGAATCTACTTTTGACTGGGTACTTTATAATAAATGTGATACATGCCATTTCATTCTTTTCTTACCAGCCCTCTTCTGATGCACAGGATAAACAGTTTGGCACTTGGAGCCTGAAAATCACACCTGTGGATTACCTTCTAGGAGTGGCTGATTTAACTGGAGAATTGATGCGGATGTGTATTAACAGTGTGGGGAATGGGGACATTGACACCCCCTTTGAAGTGAGCCAGTTTTTACGGCAGGTTTATGATGGATTTTCATTCATTGGCAACACTGGACCATATGAGGTTTCTAAAAAGCTGTATACCTTGAAACAGAGTCTGGCCAAAGTGGAGAATGCTTGTTATGCTTTGAAAGTCAGAGGTTCAGAAATTCCAAAGCATATGCTGGCAGATGTGTTTTCAGTAAAAACAGAAATGATTGATCAAGAAGAGGGCATTTCTTAGAATTACATTACTGGGTTATTCTTCTGAGAACTCCTAAGAGAGACCAATTTATAAGACTGTTGTTTAGTATTTCATTTGACTCTATGTGGCTTTTCCATAGAACCATTTTCAGTTGTACTTGTTTTAAATTGTATACAAGCTGTACATAAAATTATCCAAGTGAATCATTTCTTGTATCTTATTCATGAAAGTTTGCATACAAATATTTGCCTACTTACCTATTTGAATATTTGCTGGTTAACCTTCATCATTTATCTTTGTAATATGAACATACTGCATATTTCAGAGTGCAATTTCTACCATATCTATTAATTTCCTTTTGTGAATTTTGGAGTGGTAATTTTTAGTGGAAGCCACTTATAATTTAAGTTGATGATTTTATTATATAGAGAAAAGATTTTTTAGTTACATTTCTGGACTTTTGCTTCCAGTTTAAATTTCTTGTTACTGTTGTGCCAAGCTTCCAAAATAGGCTTATTCTATGGAATAAGAATTAAGAATTAACAAGCTGTCAGTGTACTTCAAGTGTAAGTTTATGAGGTATGATAGTGAAAATTCATGTTATATTTTGGCCAATTTTAGGTCATTTTAAATTTATATGAAACAACCTTCCAGAAAAATTGACAGATACCCTGATGTTATTTTCTTCTCCTTTTTTTTGTCCTTTGTCATAGAAGTTCTTA